TTATTTTTTTAATATTATATAATTATAAAAATAAAACATAAAATAATTTATGTTATATTTTTACTTATTCTAAAATAACATTATTTTTAGTCGTTCATCTCCCGTATGTTGGTCACCGATATGTGTATGTGGTGATATGCACACACATGTATATGTGTGTGTTATATATAAATATATAAAAATCAATATACATGAATAAAGTGAATTACATTTTCCGTCCCGGTGGTTTTTAAATCAAAGAATTTTCAAATAGAAAATAAAAACAATAAAAAGACTAAAATGCCCTTAGACTTAACGTACTTTAACCACAGCAACTAATGATGTTAGGACAAAGGGACCAAAGACATATGAAAATATAAATTACATGAACGTTTTTTATAATTATTTTGATTTAGGGATGTACAGTATAATTTTATGTAAACCATACAGACCAATCATGTAATTTACTCTAAAAATAAATAATAATATATTAAATAACAGGAACATTTTCATCGCATCATCAATAAGTTAAAACAAGGTCTATGTTTAATTTGATTCGTCGACGTGTCACAAGTTATTTATGTTAGGCATGGGAGTTGGTCCGAAACCGTTGGAGAACCCGATCCATCTGCTCTGATTGGGGACGAGATTCCTTGTTAAAACGAGGTTGGGGATGGGGACGGGGACGGGGATGCGTATCGCACTCTCCGTCTCGTACCCGTACCCGTTACATATATTTATTAGAAGATTAATATATATTATTTATTTCAACTAAATAGGTAATTAATAATGTCTTGTTTTCTAACTATGTTTAAAATCTAAAATTGTTATTTTTCGGATATTAATATATAATATTTTAGATGTCAAATAAAAATACAATTATTTGATTTGTTTTGAATATTACTCAATATGGGTTTTAAATATTACACGATATGTTTTGGTACGTGAGACGTTAAGTTTTTTGTATTAAATTAAAATACATGTATTAGTTGTTTTTTACAAAGTATGTCATATACCTTTTAACACATAACTTGAAAATACGTTATTCAAAAAATAATTTAAACAAAACACCTTTATTTTCTTCTTTTTCTTAGGGTCTGTTTGTTTTTTCAAAATTATCTCTTAATGTCTCTGAAGTCTGATTCATTCAGACATTTGAATATTAAGAGCGTTTGTTTTATTTCTAAAATAAGACTTTAAAAACTCTAAGGCCCTGTTTGTTTTTCTAAAAAATCACTTAATTGCCTCTTAAGTCTGACCGATTCAGACCTAGAGGAATTAAGTGCGTTTGTTTTTTTTATAAATTAAGTGCTGAAAATGTCTCATTTTGTCTGAATCGGTTAGATGTAAATTTAACTCTGAAAACCTCTTAATTTGATTCCCCTTCTTCTCGGCTGCTGCTTCCTTCCCTCTTCTGCTGCTTCCAATCGACAGCCCCCTGCTGCTCGATTTCTTCCTCTCGGCTGCT